AACCGGACCGCCCGCCTCAAGATCCTCCTCAGCACCAACCTGAGCACCAACAGGAAGACGGGTGAACGACACTGATGTTAGACATCATCAGCGCTGCCAGCTGATTGGCTGGACACTCACTCGGCTCCGGACATCCCAGGATGGATCCCGTCAGCGATGCAGACTGATAAGGTACGGATGTGGTCTGCTACCACCCTGTAGGCCCGATCCACCTGGCCCGCGTCCGCCTCCCCTGTCCTACCGCCGTAAGGCCCCACCCCCGACCTCTGATAACACAGATACATGTCACTATGGTGATAGGCCGGCCTTGTAATGCGCCTCTGGGTCTGCGTGTACCTGGTGGATGGCGTCCAGCAGCGGTGTGAAGAGGTCGGTGTCGTAGTTGGACCGTTTGCCCTGCAGGATGCTGACCAGTCTCTCCAGTCCCATCCCAGTATCCACGCTGAACTGGGGCAGCAAGCGCAGACTGTGGTCCGCTTCCCTGAAACAGACCAGGACCTGAGCTTAAAAGAACTCAAACATGAACCGGGTCCTGGGCTAAGTGAGTACTAACTAGTCTGAAGGAACTGGTCTGAACTGGTCTGAACTGGTCTGAACTGGTCTGAGGTGATTTCAGCTGAAGGAATTCAGTCTTATCAGTATGGAGTGAACTTCGTTCCACTATTGTTGTTTTCAATATAGAAAATTACCAAAAAAACAGCAATCCAAAAATGAAACTTTGAAAAACCTTCAGAATCATAAATATTGAGAGAAACTTTTTTAAATAAATTTTTGCCAATATTTTTTATTTTTATTTTATTTTATTTATTTTTGCCAATATATATATATATATATATATATATATATATTTAACATTGACCTTCATGGCCTATTGAAAATGCTTTATTGGGCTTGAAGGGAAGAAAACATCTGTAAAGCCGAATTTGAAAAGAATGTCATTGGTAAAATTCATTTATAAAATAAAAGTTGAAACTTTAAAATCTGTAAGAAAAAAAAATTAAATAAATGTGAAAGAATAAGAATTGAAAAAAAAAAAAACATTTTAAAAAATAAAATCTGAAGAGCAGATTTACCTATTCTTTACCTTTTTTTTAAATTACCGTAAGATTTTTTTTGTTTCATTTTTAGAATTTATTTTTTTCATATTTTATTTCCAAAAGATGTTTTTTTACAACAATAATTGAACACAATTCACTCCATAAATTAATCCAAGAAGGAAGCAAAGGGCTGGTCCTCTATGAGGCCGAGTTGGGACTGTAACATTTCATCAAAAAAACATTTCTTTTTAACAGAAAAGTAATTTGGAAAGTGGAAAAAAGTCCCCCCCCCCCTGAAATGCAAAATGTTTAAATAGTTTGTAGAATGTTGGCATATTTACTGCTCTGAGTGGGTTGCTTTTTCAGCTAATGGCTTGTGTTAAAGTCTGTATACCCCAGTTAACCAAAAACTAACCAGAATGCGCTGCATCATCAGTGTTGGGCATGTTACTTTGAAAAAGTAATTAGTTATAGTTACTAGTTACCTCTCCCAAAAAGTAACAGAGTTAGTAACTGAGTTACTCCACAATAAAAGTAACTAGTTAGTAGTAAAAGTAACTATTGCGTTACTTTTGCGAGTGTATGAAATTCCTTCCACTCCTTAGAAAGCTTCCTGAACCGATTTTACTAACAATCCTCTGGACGCTGCAGTCCTTTCATGTAACGCTTTTTCCTTCCACTCAACTTTCCATAAATATGCTTGGATACAGGAACAACCATAAAAAATTCTGAGCTTTTTAAAAATATTTTGTTTTGTTTTAGATTTGATGGTTTGTGTGACCTGCACCTGGTCTCCAGCTGCTGGGGGTGAAAACAGACCTGTTGTATTGGATGAAGACCAGGTTCCAGATCTCCACCACCTCTGGACTGTCCGCGTTGACGAGCCGAGCAGCGTCTCGGCCCCCGATGTGGTCGTAGTGGATCTCGGTGCAGGGGCCGCAGGGCCCCGTGTCGCCCATCTCCCAGAAGTTATCTTTCAAACCAAACGGCAGGACGCGAGCAGGAGGAACCCTGAAAGGAGGAGCCGGGTCAGAGGATTCAGAACCGGGTCTGGGCCCGGCTGCAGACAGAGGTGGACCTACCCCAGGTCCAGCCAGATGTTCCGCGTTTCCTCATCAGCCAGCAGACCCGATGCAGCATCTCCACCAAAATACGACACGTAGAGTCTTTCAGGTGGTATCCCGTAATGCTCTGTGAGGAGGCTCCACGCCATCTGACAAGCCTCTTCCTGTAACACACACAAACACACTGAAGCTCCGCCTACTGCACACAGAAAGCCACCTGGCGAAGGAAAAAGCCTCTCCCACCTTGAAGTAGTCTCCAAAGGACCAGTTCCCCAGCATCTCGAAGAAAGTGTGGTGATACATGTCCCGACCCACGTCATCCAGATCGTTGTGCTTGCCGCCGGCTCGGACACATCTCTGACTGTTGGCCACGCGGCGGTATGACGCCATCGGGCTGCGGGGGTCCACCGTCCCCAGGAAGATCGGCTTGAACTGGAACCACAAGAATCAGAGCTGTTCAGACGGATCAATTCCTCAGGAGGGGTTCTGGCAGAGTTCTGGTGCTCTGGGGCCCAACATCTAAAAACCAAAGTCTAAATGACGTTAGGTGTTTATGGAGGTAGAGTAAATCTAAAGACATTTTTACTTTTTTTTTTTCCATAGACTTTCAATGATGGAAAGAAAAGCTTAATAACTATATGACTTGGATTCATCTCTCAATCTTGCATTGAAGAAAACGCTTACTGACAGACTGACTCCTATTACATGACATTTATCTCTGGGAAAGTATCTCAAGGCGGTGATAACTTATGTTCTGAAGTGTTGGGCTGGTGAGCTTTCAATGCTAAAAGATGATTGCTTTAGGGTCAGAATTTTCTTTCTTCCTTTCTTCCTTCTTATCCCAAGCGGGGCCGCGAGGGGAGCTGGTGCCTATCTCAATGGGTGACAGGCGGGGTCCACCCTGGACAGGTCGCCAGTCCATCACAGGGCAACACAGAGACAAACAGGACAAACGACCATTCACTCATACCTAAGGAGAATTTTTTTTTGGACTGTGGGAGGAAGCTGGAGTACCCGGAGAGAACCCATGCATGCTCAGGGAGAACATGCAAACTCCATGCAGAAAGACCAGGCTAGGAAACTGGAACCTTCTTGCAAGGCAGAAACCATCGTAATCAGGACTAAAATAGCAGCTAAATCAAAGCTAAAGTAGATTTAACAACAATTAAAGCTCTCTGCTTGGACTGAGACATAAAAGGGGATTAGAATTCTTTCCACCTGAGAACCCCAGAGCAGTTTATTGGCTGGAGGTAAATTGTCTGTGAATGAAATTGAATAAAAAGCACATCATTTTACTTTTGACTCAATTAAAAGAGGTTCGTTAAGGATTGCCAAATGCACAGCGTTCCAGGAATCTACCAGGAAACCCCCTGAGTGAGAAAGAGAAAAGGGCCCCAAGATTTTCATGCATTTAGTTCTGATCACCTATATTCAGGATAGTTTGTTTGTGTTTTTCTGTCTGTCTTTTTTGTTTTCCCATTTGTGAAATCCCAATTTAGCTACTTCTTTCTTGGGAAAAGTAGAGGTGAGCGAACAGATCAGGTTGAACTCTAAAACAGGACGGTGTCTGGTTACCATGGCTACGCTCACCCTTTCCCTGAACAGTTTTCAAAACATAAGCAGGGAGTTAAAAGAGTTAAATAGTTAATGTGCTATTATTCAACACTGGATTAAGGTAATTGATATGATATTAAATCCCAATAAGGTCAATCCAACAGTAGGAAAACGTTAAAAGAATTTTGCTTTGTTTAATTGGGCATTTCTTTTAATAATTTAGTAATGTATTTATTATTCAATGCTAAATCTTAATTTGTTAAACTCATGACTTTAAAATTACTAATACCTCAGTAATAATTTAAATTTAATTAAATTCAGTTTACTTATATAGCGCCAATTCACACCTTACAATTCAACCAGATCATACAGTCAAATTGATTCAAAGTTTTCTATCTAAGGAAGCAGACATACAGAAAGAAGCAGAGATACAAAAGACGACAGTAAACCAGCTCCACAGGCTGCCCCGTCCAGGAAACACAGCCAAGAAGAAGACTAACTGGATGTAAAGAGAGCAAATCCAGTTAGTCGCAGTCAGAGAAACAGGCCTACACTGAAAAAATAGAACCTTTTTAGGTAAAAAAATAAACATGTGTAAAGCAAAATTACTTGTGACTTACTTATGACAAATAAATAAAATATATTTTTATATTTATCTGGAGTTATTTAAGGTTTAAATTCCAGATTAGTGAAGCACCACTACCCTTTCTACAAAGTTAAAGAAGAATTTTATTTTGATCAGACTGTAAGTTGATATTTTTATAGTGAGTATTTTCTATAATAAAATTTAGTCCATAAGTCTGGTGGGAGAAAATTGACTTGATGTGCCTCTTCAATAAACACCTGCAAAGAGACACCTGAGACATCCAGAGCTTCCAGGACCAAAACCAATAAGTATATATTTTTTATTAGTGACAGTCTCTGACCCAACTGCAGGGAAATCTAGGTTTCTGGGCTGAAATAGATCTGTACATAAAAAATAAATAAAAAGTAATTCATTCCAACTGGACTGACCTGGTTCATGCCGGCGTTCACGAACAACAGGCTGGGATCTCCTCTGGGCCGGACTGGAGCGGAGGGAACCACCAAATGCCGGTGTTTGTCCCGGAAGAAGTCCAAGAAGGTTTTGCGGACCTGTGCGGAAGGCAGGCTGCTCAAAGAGCGCTCCGACCCGGGCGAGAGCCGCCGGAGCCTCTGGAGCTTCTGGAGCAGCAGCCGGGACATCTGGATCACAGTGTCAGCGCACCAGAACCGCCCGGAATCATGATCAGCCTCAAGGACTACAGGCTGAGTCAGTGCGCATGCGCAGTCAAACTCCATTCTTCTTTTACTGATAATATGAAAGATGAGCGCCGTGTCGACACCTTGTGTTGAAATGGAGCTACTGCAGCAGATGAAGAAAAAGGTTTTTACAAAAAATTACATACAAGATTAAGTTCTACTGTTTTTGGGGTTAATAAAATCAGGATCCACGAATCAGCCACTTTCAAACAAATTCATCTTAAATAATTTTAGGTTTAAATATTTATATCAAAATTAGATTAGATTAGATTCAACTTTATTGCCATTGCAGAGGTACAGGTACAAGGCAATGAAATGCAATTTAGGTCTAACCAGAGGTGTGCAACATTCCTGAGTTTGCAAATACATTGACCTCCAATAATAGAGGATTTTTTTCCTCTAAAAAATATTTTATCATTCAATGTGAAAAAATCGGTATGAGGAAGGAAATACAAATTCTGAACTATTTCAGAAAAATAAAAATGAAGAAATTTGATGTCAGATAAAGAAAATATTTTTTTCCTCCCATGATCAGAGTCCCATCAGTGAAGGAAAAGTCTGGTGCAGACATTCCTCCCACCAGAGGAGTCTCTGTGTCTCTCTGCTCTGGTTTCCTCTGGAAGGAGGTTCACCTGTCATTAAGCAGGCTCTCTTATTATTCTGATCTGTCACAGCCATAACGGGATCTTCAATATCTCTAAACCAATCAAAATGCTGAAAAATAAGATATAAGAGTCAGACATGATATTCCGAAATGATTTCACAAAGAAAAAATATTCATCAAATGAAAAACATGATGGGGAACCCTTAATTTAACCTCAGGATCATAAAATGTTTTTTTTCTTTAGTGGAATTGAAATGAAGAGTTTCCATCAACAGTTTTTCCTTCATTTTCCCGGTCGCCAAGTTTGAACATTAAAATCCAACATTGATTAACAGGTTCTGATTTTACACTTTCTTCACCACAGACTATTCTATTCTATTCTATTATGAATTATGAAAGTTGAAGATGATGATGAAAGAACCAGCAGGAATGATTATGACAACATTAGAAATGATGAAGACGTAAAATGTTTATAATTTTTTTTATTATTTCATGAAATTAGTACAGCCATTCATTTTATCCAGTTAACTGATCCGTTCATCTTATCCAGTTATCGGTTCATCTGATCCAGTTAATTGATCGGTTAATTCGATCCAGTTAATTGATCGGTTCATTCGATCCAGTTAATTAATGGGTTCATCAGATCCAGTTAATTGATTGGTTCATCTGATCCAGTTAATTTATCGGTTCATTCGATCCAGTTAATTGATCGGTTCATTCGATCCAGTTAATTGATCGGTTCATCCGATCCAGTTAATTAATGGGTTCATCAGATCCAGTTAATTGATTGGTTCATCTGATCCAGTTAACTGATCCGTTCATCTGATCCAGTTAATTGATTGGTTCATCTGATCCAGTTAACTGATCCGTTCATCTGATCCAGTTAATTGAT